ACTGTGAGTAAACCACAGCCAATTTGACAGATGTTGCACACCTCAGACAACATGAGGGTTTAGAAAGGGGGATTTACTGTACATCCAAATGCAGGTACTGAACTTCACATTGTCAAACCTCATGCCCCCAGAGCAAAACAAAGCAGATGGGGTCTGCCATTACCTGCAGCTCAAACTACTCTACAGCAGCATAATGAAAACCTTCAACCCACTGCAGATTCCAAATACCCAATACTACTGCTGCACAGCAGCACAGGGAAAAAAATGAAGCCAAAATCATATGCAGCACATGCACTGAGCAAGCAATGAAGCAAACAATCACTGGTTATGAAAACCTCAAGCTACTGTAGTGAGACGCATCATTGGTAAAACTAATCAGGTTTGACTGAGTTATTGCATGTGTTGGTTAAATGCCATGTTAGTCATAGTCCTCCCTTTGAAAACAGAAAAGACAAAGACAGACAAAGCTGAACAGAGAAAAAATATATTTCCAAACAATTGCTCTAAATCAGCTGTTGGAGCAGCAGGTGACAGCAAAGCAGATCACACAACAGAATAGCGGCTCTTTCAACAATCCGAGTTTCTTGTGAACACATTTCAAATCGCCACTCTAAGTTCCAAAACCCTTTTCTCTGACAGCTGAAGTAACTTCCTCCAGCCATCAATGTTGCCAAATAACTTTGTCCTCTAGGATGTTCCATCAGGTAATGCTGTGGCCTGCAGGGCAGGTGCGGTTTCTCCTAAAGACTTGGGCAGAGGGTGCCGATAATGGAAGAAAAGTAATATGCACAGACTGAGATGAAGGGGCACCGAGACCCAGCACCACAGTCCACCCTTAAGACCAGATAAGAGCCAAGAAATATAGCAGGTGTGTGGGGGAGTAGAAGAAAAGATAAGTGTATAAGCGTGAGTGAGCATACAGAATTTAAAGCGGGGCGAGTACATCATTCAGTGCATCTTTCCAATGTGCATAAGAAGTGTGCTCTTAAAAGGGAACTTTTTGTGGTGTGCAGGTGCAAGCAAAAGCAGGAGACTGTGTGCATGTGAAGGTGTGTGCCAAGTACACACACACACACACACACACACACACACGCACATGATACGGTAGCAGGGTATTGTCCAGAGCACTGTGCCATTACATTCCAATGAGCTGCTGATTAAAATGAAAAGGCTCTAATTACACTGCAAAACAGACTGGATGCATTAAGGTGTCTGAGCTTTTCAGAGCTGGCATCTGAATGTCTCCACAAAAACAGTAAACTATGGAAAACTTCCCACTTGAGACAACCACATGCACCTGTTACTGTGTGTGTCTGTATGGCGCAAGCTCCAGTTATATGAAAATATGCATGCTGCAGAAATCTCTATCATTTTCTATTCAATAAGAATCACACAACATTAAAAATAAATGTCACCTTGCACTGTCTCCTGCTTTCACACACATATACACAGGCTGTGGCAAATACACAATAATACCCAATTGGGTGCCAAAGTTCAGCCTCAAAATTGCTTAGGGAGCAGGTTTCAATACCTGTGGTGAGAGCTGGGCTCAGCTCTGAAGCCTGCGCCGTGGGGACTGACACAAAGTGAAATGCAATCGCAACACATGGCAGGGAAATACAAGTACAGGAGGGAGGAAGAGGAGGGGAGAGAAACTGATGGACAGGAGTGGAGAGGAGGAGAGGGTGGTGTCTGGAACGCAAGGCTGGGAGAAAGTGACCCCTGGTGATAATCTGCAAGTGCTGCACGTTTGATTCAGTGGCATGAGAGACTTCTGTATCACTATACTTGAAGGCATCTCTGGTACCAGAACTGATGTAGGTAATACTCCTTGTACTGGGGGGTATTTGTCTTCTCACATGGAAAGGGGAAAATCTAATTTCCCCAAATGTCAAACTATCCCTTTAATGCAAATCAAATATTTTCCCCTCTGTGCTCACTGAGGAGCACAGAGCTCAAAGTATCTTGCCATCCTATACCAGCCTCCCTCAAGACTGCATCCAGCTCTGTGCATATGAATGTGGGAGCAGCATTCTATATGCCACAACACACATTTTCATTTCTTCCAAACAAGAACCTTCCTTTTGTCTTCAGTCAGTGCACTTTGCCACAAGTCGAGCACACAACCTTGCTGAGCAACGATGACAATTAAGCCTAGTTTGTACATAAGATCCCCTCCAGAGATGTTAAGGCATATAAATAAAAATATAGTCTAACAGACAAAATGCTTTGTTAATGAACAAAATGTGAACCTCTGAAACTGGCCTGAAAACATCTGGCTTTGCCCTTCATTGTGAATTCAAAGATTTATGAATATTCAATATAGAGTCTGCAAATGAGCCTAGACAGGAAGGTAGAAATACCCTAAGTGAGAAACCTGCACAAACACCAGTCAGTATACTGGAGGGCAGATACTGATTTTATAGCCCTTAAGACTTTTATTTAATGGAGGGGGTCTTTAATCTTTAATTTAAGATTTGGAAACAAAAAACCTTTCATCCTTTCTCAACAGTAGGTGCTCTCAGACAGCATGTTGCAATGGTGCCTACATGACAGCTGAAGTGTTTCCTTGTATTGAGTCAGTAAAGGCCCTACTGGGAATAGCAAACAGGTGTGTGCGTACGTGTCTTAGTACCGGTCATCCACAGAGTCTTTTAGGGAAGCACACGTGTCTCACTTCAGCCGATAATATGCAGAGAAAAGTTGTAAGAAGAGCTTACCACTGCTCTTAGACAAGGAGACGTGGTTCATCACTAAGCAGACGAGCCGGGTGATGTTGCAATTTGATTACAGC